GCAAGCAACTTTCCACCTAACCCAGATAATTTTTCTACTCTGCCCAGACCGACCCCAAATGAAATGATTCCGAAGGCTTTCAAGGGTGCTAATCACTTTTTCCGGGACTTTAAACAGAGAAAAAAGATAAACTCCCAAACTACCAAGAACCGATTTACAAAGAATCTTTCTACCACCAAACGATAAGGACTTGGCCTTCCAGGCGGAKAGTTTCTCWTGGAACTTATCCACTAACTTATTCCAACTACTACTTCTGCCCATCTGCGCAYCTACTGGAAGACCCAAATATTGAAACGGAATAGAGGAGATCTTACAATTCATTCTTTGAGCAAGAAACTCAGCTTCACCGGTACCCACGCCAATGCCATATAAACAGCTTTTCTGCAAGTTGATTTTCAACCCCGAAGAAAGATAAAAACATCTAAGCAAACGAATCAAATTTAGGCCATTCGAAAACGACCAATCCCCCATAAAWAGAGCGTCGTCAGCATATTGAAGAATCTCTATTCTAGGTCCACCTCTGGGAAGCGACAACCCATTAAAAACACCTTTGATACGAGCTTCATACATAACCACCCTAAGAGCCTCCATAGCTATTATAAAAAGGAAAGGGGCAAGAGGATCACCTTGACGCACTCCTTTCTCCATGAAAAACTCCTCMGTAGGACTTCCGTTCACCAGAATAGAGACACTAGCATTAGAGAGAATTCCTCGAATCCACTTTCTCCAGATATTACTGAAACCCATTTGCCCCAAAACCTCGTCTAAAAATTCCCAGTTCAAATTATCGAAAGCCTTCTCAAAATCAGCTTTGAAAATTAAAACTTTACGCTTTGTCTTTCTGGCCCAAGAAATAGTCTCGTTAACGATAAGCGGGCCATCCAGAATGCTTCGACCTTTAATAAAAGCCGACTGCTCCTTCCCGATAATCGAATCCAACACCCCTTTGAGTCTATTAGCCAGCAACTTGGAAACAATTTTACAAACACAACCAATAAGGTTAATCGGCCTGAAGTCTTTGAACGACAAAGGGTCCTTTACCTTAGGAATAAGAGTAATGAAAGACGCATTGCATCCCCTTCCAATTTCTGCATTTGCCTCGAAGGATTTGACCGCTTTGAAAACATCGTCACCGATGACATCCCAAAACTTTTTGAAGAAAGCAAAAGAATAACCATCAGGCCCCGGCGCTTTTTCATTACCACAACCCCAAACTGCAGTTTTAACCTCCTCAAAAGAGAAGGGCAGCTCGAGCGACTCCTTTTGACTTAGCGAGATTCTTTTGAAATGATTGCTCTTGAAAGATGGTCTACACACCTTATCTTCCGAAAATTTCTCTTTGAAAAAATCAAGAGCAGCTTTTTTCATCTCTAACGGATCACGAGTCCATCTTCCGTTTACAACGATACCATGAATATTTAACTTGTTAAATCTGTATCGAAGAATACCGTGAAAGAATCGAGAGTTTTCATCTCCTTCAAGAGTCCACCGAGCTTTGGCCTTTTGCCTGAGATCACTAATAACCGCTTCATCAATCTCCAAAATACGCTTCATAGTCTCTATTCTAGTCTGCGCAACATCAACATTCAGATTACCCGCTACCACCATCGAATCAAGATCATTGATCTTAGCCATAAGCAAAGCCTTCTCGGATCTTGAGGAGGCCGATTTTGAAATATTCCAAGCTTTGATCTTCACCTTTAGCCGCTTTAAATTGTAGAAAAGAAACCGAATGTTGTTAGGATTCGAGAAACCATTGCGATTTTTTATCCAGCCCTCTTTCACCATCTGAACAAAATCAGGATCATTAAGCCAAGAATTAAAAAGTTTAAAAGGGATCGGTCCAAAGTCCACTTCACAGCCGTCAAGCAAGATAGGGCAATGATCCGAATAAAGAAACGGCAGCGCCGTCACACAAGCCTTAGGCCATAAGGCTAGAAAACTCTGAGATACCAAGAATCGATCAAGTTTGCTCCATTTAGCGCCATCCGCACTTTTTCTCGTGAACTTTCGACCACCCATTTTGAGATCCAAGAACCCGATCTCGGAAATAAAATTGTTGAAGACCAAGGCACTCCCAGCATCAAACTCTGACCCAACCCTTTCCTCCCGACGTCTAACAACATTGAAATCACCGCAGCAAATCCAAGCATCAACAACTAAAGACTCCACAAGATCCTTAAGGGTAGACCACAACCGCTCTTTACCACTAGCATCTTGAGGAGCATAGACGTTACAAATACCTAACGTGACCCCGCTGGGGCGCCAAGAGCCAATTACTATCAAAAAGTTCCTGTCTGAGAAAGAGTTTAACATGAAGAAAATAGAAGAGTCCCATAAAGAAACCAGACCACCAGACATACCAATCGGATCAACCGAAGCCATCTCAACATTCCTACCCCCCCACACCGAAGAGCATAAAAACTCTTTAGGAAGAGAGGAGATTCTAGACTCCTGTAAACAAAGAAAGTTCACTCTATTATCCTGC